ACACACATACACTAACACACACTAACACACACATTTTTTTTTTTCAAATTTAATCCCCCCAGCCTTCTTACCTTTTGGAGTGCTGGGGGGATTCCCTGGGGTCCAGTGGTGCTCTTGGGCTCCTGGTCACTGGGTGGGCGGGCTGCCTGGCCGGCCGGCGCACGAGGGAGCACTTTCCCCTGTGTGCTCCCTCTTCAGCTCCCTCGCGCGCCGCGTAGGGATGCCGGCGCCGGAAGATGACGTCATCTTCCGGCTCCGGAATCAGTGCGGTGCGCGAGGGAGCTGAAGAGGGAGCACTGAGTGCTCCCTCGCGCGCCGGCCTGCATGACCGACCGGCCACCCGCCCGGGTCAGCAGGGCCAGCCTCGGGGGCCCCGGGGTGGTCGGCTCCTGGGCCCCCCAGGGGAAGAGGCTGGCCCTGGGCGTACATACCGGGTCGCAGGGGTGGCCGGGCCCCCTGGTGGGCCGGGCCTGGTCGCAGCCGCGACCCCTGCGACCCTGGTATGTACGCCACTGGCGCTGTACAATGGGTGGACTAACAGACATGTAATTGTAACCAGACAACTGGATGTACAGGAACAGAGAGGTGGAGGGCCCTGCTCAATGAGCTTACATTCTAGACGGAGTGGGGTATAGTGACACAAAGGGTAAAAGTAGGGGTACGAAGTAGGTTGTTAGAAAAGTATTCACTGAGGGATTAGTAGGTAATTTTGACAGGTGCAGGAGAGGAGTCATGGGGGTGGGGGATAAAAACCTGCTAACAGTTTAATTGATATGCTTTCTTGAAGAAGTGAGTTTTCAATTATTTTTTGTCTCGGTGAAAGTCTTACAGAGAAGAGAAGGGAGTTCCACAGTGGAGGTGCAGCCCTGGGTAAATCTTGGAAGCGAGCATTGGAGGTGGGGGTATGGACATAGGATATACGTAGGTCTTTGGCAGAGCGTAGGGCCTAGACGGGACATACTTGTTGTAATGGAGCTTCCTGTACCCCGGTTGGGTACCTCCACCGACGGATGCACCTAGTGCTCACCGAGGACTCCAAGCACTCCACCAGATACCATCAGCACCGCAGTCCACACATCCAGCGTTACAGCTTGGCTGGGAACTCGCCGTCCTCTACCCGCCCTGGACCTACGACAAGGCTCCAGGTTCCAGTGGGTGAACCTCTCCTCCAAGAGAGAGTAGCAGGAACAAGCTCTCAAAAGAGTTTAGTGATTATAATCCCTGGGGAGTATAGTGATATAGCAATCCCCAGGGTAGATGCAGCCTTTCCCCCCACACATGAGAAGAGGTTCTATGTTGAGGGTAAAACAGGAACTCAGCAGATCTGAGGGTTTATATACATATCCCCAAGTCACATCCACTGATAGCCCCAATATGGGTGAACAACATATCCGAAAATCACCTAGATCGGTTCAGGGGTTCAGGAATTTCCTGGAAGTACACTCAACAACAAAACACTCCTGGACAATTGTAGATGACCGCTGCCACGTTTGAATCTGTTCCAGTTAAAAGTCCAAGAGGCAGAAACAGTACTTTTGAACATGGGTTATCACAGGGCCCATAGTCCCAGGGTAGGAGGCTGGCAAACAGGCCCCTCCAAAAACCAGTGGCGAGGTTACTTACACCACACTTGTGTATTAGGGAGGATAGGTAGGTTGGAGCAGCAATATGTAGGGACTTGTAAGAAGGCACCAGAATTTTAAATTGAGCCCAAATCTAACTGGAAGCCAATGCAGTGACTGACAGAGCGGGGAGGCGTGGGAGGTGCGAGCGGACAGGAAAATAACTCGTCGCCGCATTCATTATAGATTGCAGCGGTGCAATCTGGGAACACGTAAGACCACTGAGAAGGGGATTGCAGTAATCAAGGTGAGAGAAAACAGCATGGACTAGCACCTTAGCCACATCTGGCGTTAAACAGGGGCGGATGCGCGCTATGTTTTTGAGATGGAAGCGACAGGATTTGGCAATTGATTGGACATGAGGGGTAAAGGAGAGGTTGGATTCAAAAAGAACACCCAGGCAGCGAGCCTGCGAGGTAGAGGTGATGGTAGCGCCATTGACTTGAAGGGGACTGACATGGGAGTGGTAACGCTTGAGCGAGGAAAGACCAGAAGTTCTGTTTTGGACAGGTTGCGTTTCAGGAAGTGAGCAGCCATCCAGTTGGAAATCGCAGAGCAGTCAGAGTCATGAGTCAAGATGGGCGGAGAGAGATCAGGAGAGGACAGGTGGATTTGCCTGTCATCTGCATAGAAATGATAACGGAAGCCAAAGGAGCTGATGTGTTTACCAAGGGAGGCAGTATAGAGAACAGTAGGGGACCAAGGACAGAACCTTGGGGGATGCCAACAGAGAGTGGTTGGGGGGAAGAGTCAGAGTCAGAGAAAGAAACACTGTAAGAGCACTGGGAGAGGTAGGAGGAGGACCAGGAGAAAGCAGTATCCCGTACACCGTATTTATGGAGAATGCGGAGAAGCTGTTGATGATCAACAGTGTCAAAGGCAGCAGAAAGATCAAGTAGAATTAGGATAGAGTGATGGCCGCAAAATTTAACAGCAATTAAATCGTTGGATACTTTGGACACAGCCATTTTGACAGAATGACCAGCGCGGAATCCAGACTGAAGGGGGTCAAGCAGAGAGTTGGATTTGAGAAAGTCAGTCAGTCTGGTGTACACAACTCTCTCGAGGATCTTGGAGGCAAATGGCAGTAGCGAGATAGGGCGGTAGTTGGATGGGGAGTTGGGGTCAAGGCTGGGCTTTTTCAGAATTGGGGTTACAGTTGCATGTTTGAAGGGAATGTCCCAGAGGAAAGGGAGAGATTGAAAAATTTTGTTAGAGGAAAAGCAGGAGAGGGAGAGAAAGTGCGGATGAGATATGAGGGAATAGGATCGAGGGAACAGGTGGTGGGGCGGGAGGACCGGAGCAGAGCAGAAACCTCTTCTGCTGTAGCAGGTACGAATGAGTGTAGAAAGGTGGAGGGAGTGGGGTTGGGAGATGTATTGGTAGGGGAAGGAGAGAAATTAGAGATCTCTTCTCTGATTGTAGAGATCTTCTCAGTGAAGCGAGATGCAAAGTTTGTGGCAGACAAGGTGTTAGAAGGAGGGGGAGTAAAAGGGCGAAGAAGAGCATCAAAAGTGTGAAATAGGTGTTTGGGTTGATGGTACAGTGTACTTATGAGGGTGTTAAAGTAATTTACTTTTGCAACGGAAAGAGCCAGGCTGTAGGAGCGCAGCATAAATTTATAGTGGAGAAAGTCAGATGCAAAGTGAGACTTTCTCCAGCAGCGGTGAGCAGTTCTAGAGCATTTTTGGAGGTAACAGGTCAGCTTGGTGTGCCAGGGTTGTAATTGGGGGGCGCTTGCTGCATTTAATTGTAGGAGGTGCCATGATGTCGAGTTGAGAGGAGAGAGTTGAGTTGTAGAGTGAGGTTGCAGAGTTAGGGCAAGTTAGATTTGAGATGGGTAAAAGTAGAGTTCGGAGTTTGGTGGAGAAATGCTGGAGATCAAGGCAGTTGAGGTTTCTGCGAGATTGGAGAGTTTAGGGTGGTGAGATTTGGGTACGGGTATGCTGATGTCAAATGTTAGCAGATGGTGGTCAGACAAAGGAAATGTAACAGTGGAGAGATTAGAGGTGGTGCAGAGATTGGTGAAGATGAGGTCAAGAGTGTTTCCTGCTGTATGGGTTGCTGAAGTAAACAGCTGCGTGAGGAAAGGGCAGGGCAGGGAGGATAAGTTGAAAGGTACATTGAGGGGAGAGAAGGATGCCTACACCGCCTCCTTTACAGTTGAGTCTGGAAGTGTGGGAGAATTGTAATCCACCGAAACATAAAGAAGCGGGAGTAGTGGTATCAGAGGGGGACAGCCAGGTCTCAGTGAGTGCCAGTATTGTGTAAGACAAGGTTGTGTATAGCTGTTGATTTTGTATTACTACAGATTGAACGGGCCAGAGTGCACACTGAATTTTAGTAAAGGAGGATAAACTGCAGAGTATGTGGATGAGGATGAGGTTTGTGCGGTTTCTGGTTGTCTTAGTGTGAGCAGACGAGGTGAAGAGGTTGGGTGAGACATCACCAGCTGCTAGAAGTAGGAGGAGGGATAGTGACAGGAGGTGTGAATGGGTTTTATATGGCGGGTTCTTGGATGAGATTGAAATAGAGCAGGAGAGAGAGAATAGAGAAATGAGTGCAGGGATTGAGATGAGAGCAGGGGGGAGTGAAGCAGAGAGGGATTAATGTTAATGTAATTGTGTTGTTGAGGGAAGTGGGTGTAAGGAGATATTTTGATGCTGAGGGAGATAAGAGAAAGGGAGAAGAGAAGATAGAACATTGCTCCTATGAGTAGGCACTTTGAGGAAAGCAGAAGGAGCAGAAGTAAGCAGAGTGATGACTGAGTGTTAGGGGTTAAGGGAATGAAGGAGTGTGCTGATTACTGGCAGTGTTTGCAGCTGTCATGTCTAAAATTGTGTGTGAGGGCCTCTAAGCAGTGTTCAGGTTTGCAGTTGGGAACTTTTTAAAACTCAGACTGTGGAAGACAGAGAGAATAGGGTAAAAAAAAAAGGCCTGCAATAAAACTATGGAATGGAGAAGCACAGAGGAGGTGAGAATTGGTCAAGCAAGACAATTCGGTTGGGTATCAATAAAATAAGGGGGGTGTCTTTAGAGATAAGCAGATAGTTATTAAAATTCACGTTAACAAACAAATAATGAGGAGTAGGGCAGGAAACAACTAGCTTTAACATGTAGAACGAGACAAACTACAAAATATGCCCTTGCAGCCATAGTCACACAGCCTGCATAAATAAAATGACTTATTTTCAATCGGATGTTAATTAGCTTTAGAAGTTTTTACCTCCAGCTCCTACTACTGAAGCAGATCAGTCTAGTTTGTCATTGTTTGTAAATTAATAACGTTCATTCAAGTTAAAAAAAAAAAAAAAAGTGTGCGTGTTAGTAAAGACGTTTAGAATGTATGGGCGGAGAACGTGACGAAACGGGTGTAGGCGTGTCTCTACGCGTCTGGCCGCGCCTTCTATCCTTCCCAGCCAGTCGTCGGGCGGGAGCCGGACGGAGTGGACGGCTACGGCTAATCAGTACCGGCCCAGGTGAGACACTCTCTACACCCTGTAAACGGGAGAAGAACGAATGGTAAGGGGAGGGGATATGCCCTTTACGTCATTATCGGCCTCGCTGGCAGTGTGTCGGTGTTGGACTGATTCCCCGCCGGTATGCTTTAGGCGTTGAGCCAATCCCAGGACTCGTTACAACAGCTGGGAAATAACGCGGTGGCTGGTTGGCTGGCGCGGAGGCCTCTGGGTGGGGCTTGCACTGCAGTAGAGTCGGTTATTTGATCACCGCTGCAGCGAGGTCAGGGAAGTGGGCTGTACACGCATGGCTGTGTGGGGTCACCTAGCAGGGCTGGCCGCCATGGTGCCTGGCATGCCTGAGCTCCAACCAGGGAGACACTCTGGGTGTGTGTGTGACCAGGGGGACACTCTGGTTATATTTAGTGCACACTCCGATGGACACCCAGGGTGTACTTGGCCCATCCCTGGCTGCACACTGGTTGCTCCTCATCTCTTCAAGTGTGATGACTAATTAGCAGTGAAACTGCATAGATCCACCTATGGGGATCATACTTAATAGCTGGGGTACTAAACATCATGTTATACTAGGTCAGTCTCAGGCAGTTTATATTATGAGTGGGTTCAAAGTTTTGCAGCTCACTCAGGTAAAGCTGGTCACTTTGTAAAGGTTAGGTCTTCTTAGCAGACATGTTGGCAGTTGGAGACTCAATGAAAGGTCAGGGAAGAAATCCCAACGTTGTTATAGCAATAGTCTACAACATAATGATGTTCCCTCTAAACGTATAGTTCTCGGTCCTAGTCTGTGTTGGAAGTACATTAACAGGGTTATTCACTAAAATGAATTAAAATTTTTTAGGCCAATTTAGCCCGACTGGAAGTATAGCTGAATATTTTTCCAGTTCTGCTCTTTTGGCCTTAAAGTTGGTGAACAACCCTGAAAGAGTTGGACAGTGCTAGTATGTACAGGTGCGACTACTTTATTGTACAGTATGCCAGTTAAGCCAGTAAATTGTCGACACCAATGCAGTTTATTTCTGTTTTAGCAGGGTTTTTATGTGCATTGTTTTTTTCTTGATGTGTTTAGGTTGCCATCTAGGTGGCAATCTGTTAAGCTGAGGATAAAATATATGTATTTTCAGAAGGGGTGACAGCATAGGTTTCAAGTTATACAGGTCTATATTTAGCCCTTTTTATTTGGGGGGGAGGGGAGATCTGCGTCTGCTTTTATTCCTATATAACACACATAATTTACCACTAGGCCACAGCGATGGCTGTCCATGGATATGTGTGAACTAAATGCAACAATGCCTTGGAAAAGGCATTCTCAGTATGTCCGTATTGGACATCACTGTTAAAGTAAAAGGATTAAAAAAGTATATTTGCCATTACATAATAAAATGAGTTGTGCATTTTCTCATGTTACACTTCTCAATAAGGACATCCTCTCCTGGTTGGTAGTCTTTTGGTAGTATTTGAGATGTAATAAAATCTAGACTTTAAAATATATATATATATATATATATATATATATATATATATATATATATATTTTGCTTTCTTGTGAGTATGAGAAAATTGGTAGCTGTGTGTAATTGTTTCTTATTGCTAGGGCTACACATACATTTGTGTCTCCAATATTTTACCTTGTACCATTTGCTTGGTAGTGTCAGCCTTATGTGGCATTTCAAGGCAAAAACATTACCTGCCTGCACGTAATTGTGTCATTAAAAATGTACTTCATTCCTGTACCCAGTCATGAGTTAATAATTTAGAACTTCTGAAACATACATGTGACTGCTCACATCATACTTTAAGGCTATCTGGCCCTTTCTTCAACTATTTTCAGTTCCTCTTCACAAATAGCTGGAATAATTGGGTTTTCGGGAAAAATATACTTGTCATTATTTGCATTTTACCAAATTTTAAACATCAAATTATGTATGAATCCACTTTCCCCCGAATGTTTTTGTATACTTATCAGGACCATGGTTAGGCAAATGCTGTATGCTTATGAGCGTACTGGCAGGTTCCCCCTGAAAAGGATTGTTTGATCCAGTCCTGCCCCTTGTTACCATAACTATGTGTGTCCTTTTGTGAAGGTCATCTTATGTCCCTGCTATATACTGAGCCGGTTGTTCCGGTACAAACAGGTCAAATAATACGTGCTGTGTGCAGTTCATTATGTCAAACTTTCCATTCTGTGAACTTTGTATCCTGGTTTCAAACAGTGGATCTATATTATTTTTGATATGGCTGCAATCTGTGTTTTGCAATGTCAGCGATGTAGAATTATCATATGCATGCAATTTACCACAGGACATAACACTATGTGCTGTGCCATGCACTCTTTATGTACAGAGTGGTTTATCCACTTTGACTGAGGTGAAATAACAGAAACTTAAACACTTCAACCACCATAACCACTACACCACGCTCTTGCAATCTGTATTGAGCTAGGTGTTATGGGGCTTAGCTCATTACCTGAGAGTGATCAGCTACACATCAGAGCTTGTTTCAGGAGAGATGAAAGAAAGCTCCCAGCAGGAGTCCTGGATCTCAAATTGGAACAGAAATAGGCAGGGAGCAGAGCCCCCTGACAAACCCCAGGTAAGTTGGCAAACAGTTTGACTGCTTACATTGGAGGGAGTGCTAGGATAGCCCTGACTGGCACCATAACCATCACAGGGCTGGAGTTATGCACAGACTGCTCGGTTTCAGGCGCTGAGATTTTGTTGACCATTTAAAAAGGCTAGTAATTTGTGCTCCTGGCTTGGTGTTTTGCATTGTAAGATTCAAAGTGAATCCAAGGAAGTTTTAAAAATCAAACAGGTGCATGAAGAGGACTTGCTCTTTAAAGGCTTTCTCCAAATATAACCACTACCGCCTGCTGTAGTGGTTATGATGCCATGAGATAGCACTGTGAGATTCCCAAGCATGCCCAGTTTAACACTTGGGCAGGTGAACAGGAGCTTCATCTATTAGTTCATTCGTCAATAGACGAATAGACATGCCCCTACTCACGGTATAGCGAGTAGTGGCAGAATTTACTAATACTAAGTAATCTTTACTTATTAGTAAATTTGGCAGAAAGACCAATTTAGGTCTTTCAGCCTTTTGGTAGATAGCTCCCTAATACCGTGGGAATTAGGGAGTTATCTACTAAGCGGCTGCAAGATGCAGCCGCGGCACAAATGGCATCGGAGTTTGTCATTCAAATGAAATTCCGATACGAACAAAGTCCTGAATTGTGTCCTAACACGAATGAACAAATTGTTCTCATTCTGTTAGGACGCAATTCGGCAGTTTCGCCGGCGTGAAAGTGACAGGATGTTCGGGAATACTGACAGGAAGCATTGCGGGAACAGGGAGGAAAGCTTAGAATTGTGGGAAAATTTCTCTGACCACCGGAAATGAAGCACACTTAGCTCCTGAGATGGTCAGGTGTAGGAAACCTCCATAAGACAAATAGTCCCTACTTTGTCGTATTTTTTATATATTTTTTTAAAGAAAATTAGAGCAGCCAGGAAGAAATGAAGAACAGATCCTGAGAGAGGGAGAGAAGAGGAATCTATTAAAGAAAGTTAAGTTCGGCATGACAGTGCCGCTTTAAATTGGAGGGGCAAAAGTTTAAAAATATCAAGGAAGTATTAATTTACTGAGAGGGTAGTGGATGCATGGAATAGCCTTTCAGCTGAAGTAGTAGAGGTTAACACAGAGGTATGTTCAGTGTTTTAATGCATACTCCAAGCACCATGACCCCTTCATATAACTGAAGTGATAAAGATGCTTGGAAAAATCTTGTAAGAAGTAATAGTCCAGTTATTTGGGATATTTTCCATGGTAGCTTTAATAATCCAAATTGCAACACAAAGTCATTTGTTATCCGGGATGCATCACTAAACCAGTTACAGAGGCTTCACGCGTAGATATGGTAACTGTGTGTTTAATAACACGCTTGTTCTAAGGATGTTTACTCCACAAAATAGATTAACATTTAGTCTGTGAAGATGGTCTGTTATCTAAACACAAAATTCAAGGGATTTATATACTGATGATGGACAAATGGGCCCAACCTTTTGTCCTGCTTTTTATCTAATTGTAACTTCCAATGCAGTTTAAATGTATGTAAAATTAGGGAAAATTACTTAACTTTGTTTCTTGATTATGGAGTGTCTGCAAAGAAGGCCATAGCTCATTGGCTCATTGGCTATGAGTGATCAGTTGACACACTCTTAGTGTGCTACTTGTGCATTGGAGGGTTCAGTTAAGGAGAGCTAACTGAAGCTCCCTGCCTCTGTCTGCAGTGGTGTATTTTGGATTAGTACTACCTTAAGCAAGACAAAACTCGGGTACCCCCCAATCTAAATTTGCTCCACCCCTTCCTGCCTAACTGTTAAAGACCAATACACACTTTGACACACATCACTGATGCATGTACTGACAGTCTTTGGCATGCACACTTTCACTGACACACCCACTCAGACATGCCTACATTCTCAGATACACTGACAGACACATACATTTATACACTAGCATGCATAGTCACTGACCTACTCACATTTACTTTTTCACACACACACAAATTATTTTTTTTAAATTTAAATCCACCCTGCCTTTTGGGAGCGCTTTTTTGTGGATTTTTTTCTCTGTGGTCCTGTGAGGCTGATGTCCCTGGGGTCCGCAGTGGAGGCGGTTAGGATGCTGTAATCTCCATGCTCTGCTCCCTCACGTGTTTCTTAGTAATGCCAGGGCCGGAGTGACGTCATATTCTGGCTCCCAATGTCACTGCTCTCCTTGCTCTGTTCCCTCACCATACAGCTAGAATATGTGCAGCCTCACGGCCAGCTGGCCAGGTCTTAGGTCCCTTATGAAAGAGGCTGTCAAGGCATCTGCTGAGCAATTGGGGGCGGTGTATTTTGCCACCCCTTAGAAAGCGCTGCCCAAGGCAAATGCCTACATACATACTGTATTTTCTGGCGTATAAGATGACTTTTTAACCCTGGAAAATCTTTTCCAAAGTCGTGGGTCGTCTTATACGCAAGGTATAGGGGTATATATGGCTGCCACTGAGTGCTCACTTCCTTTCAGTCCAGCCGGGAACAGGTAACTGAATCTCCTGTACCGGACTGACAGGACGAAGAGGAGCTTGGCCACCCACTCTGCACGGCAGGTGAGAAGAATGTAGGGAGGATTGGGGGGGGGAGGGAGTAAAAAGAATATATCGCAATTGGCCTCCTGTGTGCTAGACCAGCAGGCATGGATTATATGCCCAAACAGCCTGGCACATACCTGGGCTTTAAATGCTATTTCAGATTATCATTATTTAATGTCTTGCTGTGTAGCTCTGTCTGCTCACTGTACATCATGGCTAATTTTCATTTGGTGTGCATTGGAAGAGTCTTATACGGTGAGTATATCCCAAACTCTATATTTTAACTGGAAAAGTTGGGGGTCGTCTTATACACCGGAAAATACGATATATATATTATACAAATCATATAGCCAGATATACAGAAGCCAAATATAAGAATATACCAAAAGATAACAGTAATTGAGAAGGATGGACTCATACATACATACATACATACATACATACATAAAAAGTTTCTTTCCCTGAAGTAGTGTGTATATACATTTTAATTTGCTTTTTTAGGTTAGTGATGGCTGCTGTTTGTTACTACAACTACTGTAGTGTGCACTTCCCATGTTGCTCAGCAGTCTGACTGAGCATACTGACAAATCTACAACAGCTATGATGTTAAAGGTTAGCCATCACTTTTTGGTCACTTTAATGTAAGGGTGCTGTTGTGAAGGAGTATAATTAAAGATAGCTGATTAATTAGGCACCTTAACATGATGGATATTCTTTTATTTGTCCTTCTGTTTTGTTTTTGTTAGGGACAATGAATAAATAGGTTATATTAATTTATCTGTTGTTTGAGATAACCTCCAACATATCTCCTCCCACTTCCATCTTTTATAACCTTCCCTCGAACACACCCTTGGCTTAGATTTGTTAGGATTAAGTGACTGACATTAATGTTATATGGGAAGCAATACCTCATGGGTATTTTCTGTTATGCATTTAGTAAGTCTGTATAATATGAATAATTGGCAATACTCTTTTTGCCATTTTCCAACCCCTTTTTTTTTTTTTTTTTTAAAGCATTTGTGAATCTAAAAGAGTTAACCATTCATTAAACATGTTAAGATAAATTTCTGTAAAAGTTCAAGGAGGGCTAACTCTTTCCCTGCCCATTATGTAATTTCTGTTGTTCTTGATTGCACAATAGCTGTTTACTAAATGAATTGTTCATCCCTACAATCCTGTTTCTTAGGAATGTGTCCTACTTGCATTTGCACTAGAGTGCTTGCTGGCCTGTGTAGACATATGTGTTTGTCACAGTACACAGGGCATGTTGGGTCGGGTGTGACCACTTCCTGCTGAGTTTGCGCTGACTTGCTCATTGTGGGAACATTGGTTCCTTTTCCACATTAACTTTCTGGCTTTGTAAGGACAAACTGTATCCTAGGGCAGGGTAGAATCTTCACAATGGTGCTTCAATTTTTGTATTTATTTCACTGCTCTTCCACAAGCTTCTGGTGTGTTTTTTTTTTTTTATTATTTATTTATTTTTTATTTATTTTTTTAGTTTAAATTATGCTAATACTTTTAGGTTGTTATTCTTTTCTTACTTGTCACTACAACTTGTGGCCAAAGAAACTTAGTTTCACCAAGGTACTGGTTTTATCTGGTACTCACTGGTCTATAAATTGCTCCTGCTTTTGTTTGTGGACTCTCATGTTTGCTCATAAGGCTGATGGGATGTGTGAACTGTGGGGGTTATAATCTATTGAGGGTTTATGTGAAGGACTTTGAAAGGACAACTATTATTAAGAGACATAATGAAGGCTCTTCTTAGAGTGAAGAAGACACCTTAGAAACCTTATATGTTGCAAACATTTAACAAAATATTTTTATATATATATATATATATATATATATATATATTTTTTTTTTTTTTTACCTTATTCTCTTTACAAGAAGTACAATAACAAGAGAGCATTAAATACAAGTTTGTCTCCATAGAAACAGTTTTTGTGTTTTCTCTCTGATACAATATTTTGCTCAGATTTTTTTTACTTTGCTCCTATTTTCTACATTCCCCCACCTCCCTGGTGCGCATCAATGATGACGATTGTGGAAAGGAGAGACAACATTGATTCTAACCAGTAACATATTTTTTGGCTGCATATATGACTCCTGTTGGCTATCTTGCCTGTCCTGTTAGTATTACTGTACCTGTACTGTATAAATACAATGTAGTAATATGGGGTGCACTTCCAAGTATGTCCCCACAAGTTATGTCCGCTGTTATTGGGGGAATTATTGGCAGGGAATTGTGAAAATTAGTAATGGGATTGCTGTTAAATCCAAAATAGTTTGGGCTTTTTAACCCCTTAAGGACACATGACATGTCATGATTCCCTTTTATTCCAGAAGTTTGGTCCTTAAGGGGTTAAGGGACATTTAAAGGTTACTCGCAAAGTCTCCTTAATTCCCGGTTTGGTGAATAGCATTCTCCCTTGTGAAAATATTTTAATGCGCAGTAAGATTGAGTGCAGCAATTTATCTAATGCATGCTTATGCCATTATCCTTGAAATAAAGTAATTTTCTCTTCCTTTCTCCTAGATACCGGAAGTGATTCTTCAACAAGAACACAAACATGTTTAACTTAAGGACTTGTGCTGCTAAACTCAGGCCTTTGACGGCCTCTCAGACTGTTCGATCACTTTCACACAGAGGGCCCGCGGCACCCAGGACGTTTCAGCCACTCAGGTGCTTAAGTACACCTGCAGCCGCGGAGCCATTTCTTAGTGGCACTAATTCTAACTATGTGGAGGAAATGTACTTTGCTTGGCTGGAGAACCCAAAGAGCGTTCACAAGGTAAGGTGGAGACCAGGAATTCTTCTAATAGCTGTTACCTAGGTATAATTCAAAGTAAGGTATGTTCAAGTAGCATGATGGGAAATGTGAACCAAAGCAATGGATGTAAGTCACTACTGGACTATGCAAACGTCGTAGACTATTTGGCCAGAGGATTCTTTCATGCAGCTGTATGGAACCTTGGATTTTGGAAAATTGCTTATTTAATCCGCCACTGAGTCTACTGCATTGGTTGGAGATTTGGAGAAGCGTGATCCTGAAAATGCACCTCACATCCAGTTTACGTGGAAACAGAACACAATCTGCTCTCAAGATAGCAGCATGCAGCAGGATTCAGTCTGCAGTAATATTTCCAAGCTATGATTTCCTGGCAGTTGTGGTTTAAGCTACACACTAACAAGTTTAAAGAATCATGTTTCTCATCATGTGTTTATTAAATATGAATGTGGTTTGTACTTTCAGGGTTATTTACTAAACTGGGAATGGCTTTTAATTCCCTATTAAGAGAATATCCCTAAACATAAGTTCTGTGTATATACTTCTTAGAAGTGTCGTGTATACACCAGGATAACAGGGAGTAGACTAAAAGATTCCCAGCTGATATGGGCTATCATTTTATAAAAGTGGTGCCAACTGATAACTGTGTTACCTGTGGTTACACAATCCCATAAATTTACAATCTAGAAGAGCATTGATATCTTTACTTTCAAGTCACCTATATGATAGATCCCGTAAATGCACTTCTGGTGCTTATTGCCAGGATATAAACATGGCTTTCATATCAACTATCATTATCATCAAAAACTCTCTCTTGGGCTAGGCAGACAGCCACTTTCTCTATCAAGATAATATTGTGGGCCGATTATAAGAAACGTTTTAAGGAAGCTTCCAGTAAACCCCTGCTCTGCCATATACTGCAGGGTCTATAATGTGTATTACATTTTTTTTTGCATCGCTATATAAAGTAACAGCCAAGTTACTATAAGTAACATGACCGTTTCTTTGATTTGAGGTGGTCATGGTGTCTGGAATGTGTGTGTGCAGTGTTTCACTATGAAACATACAGAGTTCTAATGACTCTTACCTAGGTAACACTTCCGTTGCTTCAGGAGGTGTAACTCCACCTCCAGCAGTGTAATTGGGTTGTCATTAGCCAGTCCAGAACTAGAGATCCAGGCTGGCTGATCCTTATTATGTACATATTAATATGCACACACTCATTAGCTAAAAATCTCGACCATGTAATTAGTGCCAGGTTTCCAGGATATGGCCCCAGTATACTCCTAAAATCATAATCACTACAGAGAGCTGTAGTTTAAACAAAGGTTCCACACACATTGAAGTGGGCTATGTATATGTGCAATCTCTGTTTGAGAAGCTAGAAGGAATCAAAACTTCACAGAAATTTTTTTTTAATATTTTTTTTGCGCACAGAGAATCACGTTATTGTTGTCTATTGCAGCACAATGTGAATGTTTTGTTTGTATAATATCTAAACGATTAGGTATTAAATACACACTCTGAGCACAGTAACCACTACAGCCTACTGGCACCCTCTCAGTGTTAGTGGCAAAACTTAAGAACCACCAACACAGCTTTTGTGTGTTTTTGATAGGGTAAGCTGCTTTTTGCTTTTTTTTTTTTTTTTTTCATCCGCATTCCAATTTTTGCTAATAAAAATTAAAATGTTTTGCAGTGTTCAGTAGTCTAACCATCTAACCATGCCCCTTAAGCATATCCCTTCCTTTTGCAATGAGATAGATATAGAGATATATATATATATATATATATATATATATATATATATATATGAGTCAAGCAGTAGCTAGGCTCAAATTGATCTGCGCTACACAGTTTACCATCCATTCTGAAGTTTTATGAAAAAGGGAGGCATGGCTATGCTGCAGAATATATCATAATGGTCACTCGCCACATATCTGTTCATAGATGAGTCTAAGGAGGCAGCTTTGCTTTCCACTTTGTGCTATATCACAAGGACGGGAATTATTTGCAGGAGTTTATAAACACTGCGATGTATTTATTTTTATGGTTGCCTCTCTATTTTTCTCGGCTCTATGTATCTTATGGATATCTTATTGCTGTGCCCAGCTTGTTTTATTGTATGAGCATCTCTGTATTATGCTCAGCTCTCTGTATTGTATAATGTATCTATGCCCAATGGGGTATAGTAAGAGTCTGGCACCCCACTATAAAATTTCACCAGCCGCCACTGAAGAGCACCATCCCGGCTGTCTGATCGTCCAGAGCAGGCAACATAGATTTATAAAAGTGCGGATTTATTTTGAAATCTGCAATTTTATAAAGCAAGAAAGCAAAAATATTCTGTTAACTTTTAAACCACATCAGCAAGCTGAAGTACTTTAGAGGTGTGGAGAGTTTCTTTTAGGCAGCCATCTCAACCACCTTCCCCCCCCCCATTTGCTGAACAACAACTTATATGATTATCTTCCAATCTATAAAATTCAAAGAATTCTGGGAGTTGTAGTCCAATTAAATGATTATAGTGCCAGCACTATAGTTGCCTTTTTTCTGGTTTACGCTGAAGCATTCGCTTGTGCAGCTAATAAATGATTAGTGATGGACGGTGAGAAAAATATCACAAACCTGCAGGAGCACATTGAGTTGTTAGACATAGTTATTCACTAAATATGATAATGTGTAGAATTTAGAGTAGAACTACATATTGAACTCCAAAATGCTGAATTGAACACTGTAAATTTTCTACAATATCTATTGTAGTCTAAAATGTTAAATTTCCCTTTAAATGTGCCACAGTTACTATTCAAAAATGCAGAATGTTTCCCTGTAAGAGAGTGCAGGCAGTGTGTTTGTAGTTATATTACATTCTCAGAGGAATACCCAGATTGAGGTGTACTACGAGGGGAAAAGATCCAAAGTTGCTTGCATGATAAAACTCCTTGTTAGGGCTGTGTAATTGCTCCAATGTGGATCTTAAAAATCTCTTGCTATGTGCCCCATGCTTTATCAAAGGGATCCTAGAGTGCCAGGATAACATCCGTTTTCCAGGCACTATAGGTCCCTACAGTGCCCCCCTCCATCGCGCGCTCCTTCCTGCAGGGCTGAAGGGATTAAAACTCCTTCAGCCACTTACCTGAATCCAGCGCCGATGTTACTCGGTGCTGGGTCAGGCTCTGCCCACGCTCCTCTCCTGCCATCAGCCGGCGGGGGAGACCTAATGTGCATGCGCCGCAATGGCCGTGTGTGCATTAGACCTCACCATAGGAAAGCATTATTCAATGCTTTCCAATAGGGAAAATCTGACGCTGGAGGTCCGTGAGGACGTCCAGCATCAGATAACGGACCAAAAGTCCATTTGAATTCTGGAAGCGCCCCCAGTGGCTATCTGTTGGACAGCCACAGAGGGCAGACTTAGAGCTGCAATGTAAACATTGCAGTTCTCTGGAACTGCAGTGTTTTAACATTGCAGCACTAAGTGCAAAAGTGTCACAGCACCCAGACCACTTCAAAGAGCTGAAGTTGTCTGGGTGCCTACAGTGTCCCTTTAAAGCTGCCCTGAATTTTCTCTCTTTTCAGTTTTCCTTTCTTAATGCACTTATCCTAATGATTATACTTCTCTACTCCCCTCCCCTCAGCCTTTATTTATTCTCTGTCCAAGATGTCTGCAGTTTCTTTCTGTGGGATTCTTTTGACAGGTGAGTAAATCTGTAGAAAACTGATAAAATTTGTGTCTTGTAATAACTTTTTTTATTTTATTGGACTAACAGAATTTTTTTAATGACTAGGTTTCGGGAGAACCTCCTTTCCTCAAGTCTAAAGCATTTCTGAGCAAAGACGACCTGTAGAATTCAAAGTTGAGTTGTGATACAGGGGTTAAAGCGACATGAGTGCAGATAAGACACAGCTTTGATAGAAAATAGACACCGTTCTCGCAGGGTGGTAAATATCCTGTATCACAACTCCACTTTGAATTCTATATGTTGTCTTTGCTCAGAAATGCTTTAGCCTGGAGAAAGGGAGGTTCTCCCGAAAGCTTGTCATTAAAGAATTGTTAGTCCAATAAAAAAGCTATTGAAAGACACAAATTTGATCTTTTTTTTTTTACATTTGCATCACTGGACTACTACGGCTTACAATCTCTACTTGAACACTGAGAAAAAATGTATAAGAAAGCATTAACTAAGTGGGGATTTAACTGAAACTGGGTGTCCTCATGCAGAGCGTGAAAAGGCCCACCGTCAGTTAAGCGACCTAAAGTCTGGTAAGATTCTGAAAGCACCTCTAGAGGCTGTCTTAGTGCTGCAATATAAACATTGCAGTTTTTTTTTTTTAAAAACTGCAGTGTTTTACATTGCTGGACTAAGAGCAACAGGGACACTGCACCCAGACCTCTTCAATGAGCTGAAGTGTTCTGGGTGCCTACAGTGTCCCATTAAGGGCTTACTCGGTTGAATATAATTTTTACCAAAAATATACCAAACTGTGCCTTTGCTCAGAAGGCCACACCAAATCTGTTTCAAGCACTAGATGGTAGGCATCACTCTTTGTACAACGCTCTTTTCTGCAGTTTGACTATTTAGCTGTATCTCTTTAAGTGAGGTACAAAGCGTTTGCTTGCTGCTGTGGCACTGTTCCATTTGGCCTTGTGTTAGGAGAGAGCTAGAAGTCACTCTGCACAGGCCAGTTCTTGCTGGAATAAATAATACGTCATTTTTACTTGGCTTCCTTCCAGGATAAGCTGGGGAAGCCACATCCAGGGGCTGGGCCACTTTAAGTATAACCCCTTGTGTTCCATTGTACATACTCTGCTTAGGGCAGGCGTAGGCAACCTTCGGCACGCTAGATCTTGTGGACTACATCTACCCAGATTACTTTGGCAGCATTATCGTCATGGGAGATGCAGTCCACTATTGGAGTGCCTACCTCTGGCTTAGGGCATTTGGCAGCATTGATGATTTAACCTCTCCACTGCCAAAGCATGTCCTATTGATTGACCTTGGTTTCCATGTTCAGGGTGTGTGAGCGTTAATACTGTAGTTACTAGTTTGTAAATGATGTTGTAGGCACTTGCTTAACAAACAAGTGTAGCTCTGACACAGATAGCAAATTCCCACCTTGGTAATTTTACATTCCAGCACGACAATCGTTAAACATTCACTGCCACTTATCAAAGCCTATTTTTTTTTTCTTTTTTTTTTTTATCAAGAATGTCACTTGAGCGATAGACTAGTGGTCCATTTAAATAAACTTTTCAAAGTCATTTTCCATTGCTTTTAAGTAAAGGTGACTTTGACCTTCCTTTCTGTACTGGACAAACAGCTTGCTTAGATCATTGTACTCTTCCTAAAGGCTGGCAAGTATACCTCAAAAACAAACTACGCTTATTTGTCTGAGAAATGGCTGTCCTCTTACTCTTTTCTTTGGTGTAGATATTTACAATTACAAAACCGTTGTTCATTGATGAACTGTAAATGGCACCGGCAAATTTGGCTTTGTTTAAAGGACAACTGTCACTAGTACTGTGTAAATAAATAAGAATTCTTGCAACATTTTAATGAAAAGAGATAAGATTTTTTTATTTAATTTATTATTTATATATTAACTATATGTAAAAAATATTCATATACCTTTGGTCAGACTGTGGTAGAATCCGACCGTTTAGTCTCCTGTTTTACTCCTTCCACATAGCGGTGATATTATCAGCAATCACCCTGTGTGCATGGTCCGAAATCTGATTACATTGGCAATTCTCATATTTACTACAGCTTAATGCAATCAGAATTCGGTCGACCTTTGATTTTCTGAACTCCTCTGAACCAATCTACAGCACCGTTATCGCAAATTATCATTCACTTGCCATTTGCAAGTGAATGATCATTTAAAAAAACAATTTGCCCGCTGACAGTGCTAGCAGCCAGCGGGCAAATGGTTAAAAACCCTCGGCACCGCATGGGTTAATTACGTGGCGGCTAGCCAGTGCTTGCAAGCCAGCTGCCACAAAAAAAACCCCAAAACTAATATATATATATATATATATATATATATATATATATATATATATATATATATATATATATATATATATATATATATATATATATATATATAATGTGTGTGTATATATTCTCTCTCTCTCTCCCCCTCTCCCTCCCCCGGAGTATAACCGTACCCCTCATGTATATATTTTATGGTGTTTTCAAAAGTTACAGAGTCAAATATAAGGCTTGTTTCAGTTTTTTCACACTGAAATTCGCCAGATTGGTTGTGTTGCCTCTGAGACCATATAGTAGCCCAGGAATGAGAATTTCCCCATGATGACATACCATTTGCAAAAGTAGGCAACACAAGGTATTGCAAATGGGGTATGTCCAGTTTTTTTTTTTTTTTTTAGTAGCCACTTAGTCAAAAACACTGGCCAAAATTGGCGTTCAAATTAGTATTTCGCATTTTTCACAGGCAAACAAATATTAACGCTAACTTTGGCCAGTGTTTGTGACCAAGTTGAACATGTAGTCAAATTCCAAGTTTTGTTTACGTTTTATTTTGATCATAACTTGTCCATTTGGCTCAGTCCTTAAGGGGATAATAAACATTCCAGAAAATGTTTGTTCTATCAGTGCTAAATGAATATCAATATGCAGAGTGCTCTTTGCCTCCTGAAATATTGTTTCCGTTAAGTGTCTTGGTCATCATTAGCCTTTACAATACCAGAATGGGTTAACCAGGACAATTATATGTGATGGAAAAATTGCTGGATGGCATGGGTAGGAGAATTTGCATGGGGAGTTGTTCTTAAACTCTGGCAGAGCACAAATTGTTCCCTGTGCCTTAAAGTCACTTAGCAACTTTGATGCCCAAAGCGGAAGCACTCAGCCTGTGCCACCTCCCTACATATCTTATAGGAACTTGTGATTTGCATACATTTTAAATTTGATGTATGTTCATGTGGATTTAAAATATAAAAAAAATAAAACAATTACTAAAGCTTTTTTTATATATCCACCCCCCCCCCCCTGTGGTTTTCAACCTGTAAATTGGTTAAGCCAATTATTGCTGATTAATCTGCCTTTGTAATTATCAGTACCAATTTGTTTTAATCCCTGGGACACTCCTCCCCCTTTCTCGTGACTTTGTAAGATTCTTAAAATAACCAGAGGTGGGTGTGGGGCATAAAAAGGATTCCACATATCTTTTTAAATACATTGGTTTGTTCTAATCTATGGAATTGACTGCTTAGAGTTGCATATAAAAACTGCACTCCCCAAGAGGCAGTATTACTGCTGATACATGGCATTTTTGAAGCATTATTCATATTCAGTATAATAAATCAAACCTCTCTGAATACTTTCAAATTTATTTTGTCATATATGGCATTCTTTTTTTTTTCTTGAGAAGTTTGAGCAGAATATATGTATCACTTCTCTGGAATCTTGAATTCCCAAACTAACAGCGGAAACAACGCTGTTATTGGTAGCTGGGAGCTTCATGTCTTATAGATTATGGGGGTGGGGGTGGATGATTAATAGACCATTTTTAATGGCAAAAATAATGAAATCTAAAATATGGTGACTTGCCATCAGTGTTTGTTTTTTTTTTTTGTTTTTTTTCCTTCCTCTTTTGGAAACACACAATTCCATCTGTTAAACCAGATGAAAATATCATGACCGATTGATTCAGCTGCTCGCCACGACATTTGGTGATTTATAAATAAAGCTGGCACTCTACCGCCCATTGGGTCTCCTTCCCTGGTTTGTCTGCTACTTGCAATTGTCATGCAATCTATAAATATGAGCTGCAGTCTGCAAAATACCCATCTTACTCCCACTTTTCCTACTGTTTGTGATTGTCATGTGATAACATAGGATATTCAGCCCTTTTACATGGTTGACCTCGTCCTAGGTTTTGATCTTCACACTTGTCACCTGTTTCTCTCCCAGCTGTTGAAGTTGTTTTACAGTACAACCCAAGTAAGATACTATATGCACAGACATTTTAAAGAAACACTCCCATTAAACTTAAAGGAAAACTATAGTGTTAAGAATGTGCATTTGTATTGCTAATGCTATAGTGCAAGGCTTGACAAATTTGCTTGTAATCTAGAAACCAGCTAAAAGTTGGGAGCACCCTTTAAAAATAAAAAATAAAAATTCATTACGATCTTAAATTTTTTTTAGAGGGACACTATATTCACCAAAACCACTACAGCTTAATGTGGTGGTGGTTCTGGTGTCTGTAGCCTGTCCCTGCAGGTTTTTCAATGTGAACAACAACTTTTCAGGGAACAGGCTACTAGTGGTTCTTCGTGGTCCAGTGATGCACAATGTTCAGTGTCTCCATTCTCTTCATGAAGGCATTGAATGTTCCCCATAGAGATGTATTTATTCAACAGCCTGAAGATCTTTGCTCCCCACTGTTGGGGATAAAATCAGCCCGGGCCCTTTGTGGATGATGGATATTTGCCAACTCATTCAGAGCTCTGGAAATTGGAAATGAATAGCAGAGACGTGTTCAATAACCAATTCAAATTTTATTCCTCCATCAGTTATATTAATACCCCGTTTTCATAGCAGGATGGGAGGGGGAAAAATGAGCATATAGGCGTGGCAATGACAGATTGTTTTTCTCAAGTTATGAGCAGCTGTTATTATAATTCTACGTTATATAACGCATGTATATTTGATCAAAACAAGATATTTTCAAATACCAAAATCTTGGACAATTAACAAGAACATTTCAAAATCAGTATGGTCATTCTCGTAACTGATATTAGATAAATTCTTCCGAGAATCGAAGATACAATTCCAAATGTATTCTTGGTTCACATTAACCCTTATATGAACAGCTAGGATAGATAGTGAAATGGATATTCGTATCTACAGTTCCCCTCTTAGATCATATCATGATCTACCTCACGGAAAATATCCATGGGAGGCCTGCGGCAGAGAAACAAAAGGAGGTATATTCAGACGTGCTAATCACGCCTGCAGGACTTTCCTTATTTCTTCACCTCGATTTCCCCAATTTGCTCTGTGCCTTAGGTTTTCCATTTAAGAGGAGTTCGAGCTGTCAATTTACAGCCTTTTCAATTATCTGTTGAATACATCCTTTAAGGGTACAAGTTAAATATTTCAAACAGCTGACATGTTAACCAATTTTAAACAGACTGCACATCATATTATCTGTAACTTGAGCCTGGGGTCAATACAGGCAAAGTGTATTATTCCCAACAACGGGAATATTATTATTATAATTCACAACGTAAACACATATAGTAAAAATGGGAATAATATCTATTCCCCCTCTTTGGACCAGGGTCTTGGATTACCAGTCCACCCAGTGATTTGGAGCCAGGTCAAAAAACCCAGTGGCAAAAACTCATATTTGAGGGAAAAAAAGCACATATGGGGAAACTCTAAGTGAGGGTCATGACTGTGTAGACATGTCATCCCCTCACGTTGACAGCATTAGTGACTTATAAAACCCACACTTCTAAGTAAATAGCTCAGGTATCGGGATTGGGAAACACTTCTTGATTAGTTTGAAAAGGCCCACTTACATATTAAATCATGAGATTTTTAATCCGTTTGCAATTCTAACAACAATCCCAATCACGACCTTGCGTCCTATGTCTCCTAATCACATCCCTATTTCGATGGTCCAGTCATATCCACACTTACTAAATGGAAATCCATCCTTGGTACACTCAACATACATCAATGACACACTTCCTCTCTCTCTCTGGATAACTCAAAAATAAAAATAACAAAATAGTTCAATAGTCCAGCATAGTCCAGAAAAATAGAATAAGTCTTTCAAGGAGTATAAAGAATCTTAGACACCATAAACTTTGTTCAATAATCTTAGACACCATAACATAGCTAATGGTAGCAATATGGCTGACAACAAGACAATGTCAGCTTCCACATAGTTCTTAATTCTTCTGTTTGTTGGATGTTCACCACAATACTCTGTGCAACACCCCAATTGTTGAAAGGGTAATACAGAAATAGCGGCATTCGACAGTACTGCATCTTCAGGACTTTCCAAGTTAGTTTATGTCCCCATAAGTAAGCATCTCAGTTCCTTCGGCCAGCATGGTTTTTGACCAAACAGATTTAATTGCAAAAAAGGTAGGTCAGCCACAGAGATTGGTGTGTAGTCCCAAATATCAGGCGGCACAAATACTCCAGTACGGTCTCTATAATCATACAAACACAAGGATCAGTACAACATCAATAAATTAATTATCTAGGCTAAACTCTTAACTAGTGTAACATGTACGTCTCTTAGTTTTGCTTATAATTCATTGAATTTGTCCTTTATAAAATTTTAATACATAATTTCCCTTTAGAATGCCTTTGTATGGATGAGAGACGCACTCATTCTATATAAATGCTTGTTGAGTACTAAAACACTAACATATACATATTGGTATAATTCCCAATAAAATGCTGTTCTTAAACTTAAACCTTGATTTAATAATCTCAATTAATTACTTTAATAAAATTGGAATGCTGAAGTCTGTCAGTTTTGTGGACACTGATAACATCTTTGGAAACCGAAACCTTTTATAGATCCCGATGTCCAAAAAGCCACCAGTTCTGTAGTGTGTGTGATCATGTTTTAATACATGGTGGAACCTCCATACAGTTATCCCACTTAAACAATCTTTTTTTTTTTTTTTTTTCTTCAGAACAACTAGGGATGAAATAGGAGAAACAAAGTGAATTACTATTGTTCTAAAGTGCTTTGTTTAATACAGGTTTTGGAAGAGTTTTCTTGCTGTGTTAAGGTTGCAAGTGGCCTCTGATAAGGAAGGGACAGCAAACTGTAACTTGTATTATAGCAAGTTGCCCTCACTTGTCAGGTCTTGGAAACCCACTTATTTTATTGCAGATGCCTCTATTATACCACATTACAAATTGACTAAGCATACTTATTATCCTATTTTAGTTATTTCACATTGCGCAGCCTATGCAAACAATTTCTAGGTCCAAACTTTGTTTCCTTGAGCACCAGGTTCACCATTGTTACCCTTAGGTCCAGGGGAATCTCACTCAGCCACTGAACATGTTGTCAAATCCCAGGTGCCAGGACAAAACTCCTAGTCACCATGGCTACCTGGTGCCTGGGATTTGTCGAGCCCTAAAAATATGTATAAGAAATACTTGAATAAGTTTAGACAGCCTCCCAGAGTAACCCCTTTCCCACTGGGTCACAGACAAGTGTGTGTGTGTATAGAATATGAAGCAAACTGGGATACGGCTGGTTGGAGGGAGAGGGAATTTCTCAACCTCTTAAACCCCTACATACAACAGTAAACCTTTAAAAAAGTCTTTTAAAGCCATCATATGCTGTTTGAACTGTTCCCATTACGAACTTATGAACAAGTGTTTTCTAAGGATACTTATTTACACAACAAAATGTTTAGAAACAATATATCATAAACATAAAATTATCTATAAAAAATATATATATACACATACACAAGCATTAAATGTCAGATCTTTATTCAAGTGTTCATGTCTGTTTAAGAAAAACTCCCATACCCCACTAAAATATATATATATATATATAATAAAAAGTAAAAAATTAAATGAAAAAGATATATAAAAATGGAGAGGGATGGAGTTGTCGATCTTGACAGACCTGAAAAAAAGTAAACAAAAATGAAGATATAATTTACATGAAACACACACCAGGTTAATATCTGAATTTAATCCACCCGGTTCCAGCGTCTGCATTCTATAAATCCAATATGTTTCCCTTTGTGATAGTTTCTTAATGCGATCACCTCCTCTCCAATGTGGAAGGACATGTTCTATGCCCATACATTTAAAATCTTTTAAGGAGAAGGCGGGACAAGAGTTGCAGTGGACTGGAACCGAATGGGTTTTCAGACCCTTTTTAATGTTCTTGATATGCTCCATAATTTTCACCTTTTAAATATCTTTTAGTACGGCCTATATACTGCTTGCCACACGGACACTGTAATAAATATATCACAAAATCCGTGCGACAGCCGATATCTGATTTAACAGGGAAAGTCTCCTTGGTGGTTTAAGCATCTGTACAGTGTTACAGGCCCTACAGTCCTGACAACCTCTGAATCTATTATATATAGTGGAGTTATTACCCAATTTTTCTTTTATATAGCTATAATAAAAGCTATGCTTTGGGACAATGGAGCCTATCATTTGGTCATTTAGTAAAATAGACCAATGCTTTTCTAAACTTTTTTGATTTCTCTGTGATGTTTATTATATTGTGTTAAAACAGCACATCTAAATGTGTCTTCATTGACAATTTTTTTTTAGTATTTGTAAGGAACTTGTTTCTTTCTTTCTGAGATATGACCCTAATTTTATTTTTTTATATTTTTATTGTAACCTCTTTGTACAAGTTTTTCTTTAATATGATTTGCTTGATTTTTGAAATCTAACGTCTTCGAGCAGTTTCGTTTCACTCTGGTTAGCTGGCTTTTAGCTATTCCTTTCAACCATGGACGGTAATGACAGCTTGTTTTATGGACATAGCTGTTACCGTCCGTGGGTTTGAAATAGCATTTGGTTCTAATATCTGTATTATCTTGAAATAGAGTGAGATCCAGGAAATTGATATTATTTTTATCCCACATAGGAGTAAATTTTAAATTAAAATTATTATGATTAAGGTATTGTACAAAACCATCGAAAGATACGGTCATCCTAACAAATTATAATATTGTCATCGATATAACGCCACCAGAGGACCAGGGATGCCCTCCAGTCGTGCCCCACCCACACGAAGAGATCTTCCCATCTCCTCATGTAGATGTTGGCATAACTGGGGGCAAACCTGGTCCCCATGGCGATCCCCCTCACTTGTAAATAAAAAATTTCCTTGAAAATAAAAATTATGTTCTAAAATAAATTTCACTCCTTTTTTTTTTTTTTTTTTTTAAGGAGGGTGTGATTGTATTGTCTTGGTCCATGACATTTTCTATAGCTTCTAGGCCTAATTCGTGGCTGACCGTATACAACAATGTTACGTCTAGAGTGGCCCAGCTGTACCCATCTTGCTACTCGATATTTTCCATCTCTTGGATCAAAGATTTCGTATGTTTAACATATGAGAGGGCCTGTTGTGAATATTTTTGTAGGTGGAAGTCAATGAAAGCTGAGAGGTTGGTAGTGATAGAATTAATGCCGCTGATGATAGGACGGCCAGGGGAGAATAAAAGATTTTTATGTAACTTCTGCAAGAAGTAAAAAAAAAATGGAATGGCAGGATTTTTTTTCAAATAGATAATCGAAATTGTGTGTGTGTGTGTGTGTGTGTGTGTGTGTGTGTATGTGTATATATATAATATAATCTCTATGGTTTATAGATAATGATTTTGTTTATAATATATTGTTTCTAAACCTTTTGTTGTGTAAAGTATCCTTAGAAAACACTTTTTTATAAGTTCGTAATAGGAACAGTTCAGACAGCATATGATTGCTTTAAAAGACCGTTTTTAAATAAAGGTTTACTGTTGTATGTAGGGGTTGAAGAGAGAGGTTGAAAAATTCCCTCTCACTCCAACCAAATGAGATAGATAGAGAGATAGATAGATATATATATTACACACACTACAAAAGCACTGTATGATTTCTAAATAGGATCGCACATATACGAACGAGCTAGAAGTGAAACGCATACGTCAGTGGAACACAACGTCAACGATGACGTCACTAACCTGGAACAGCGCGGGAAATACAAGAAATGAGAAATCGGAACAGCTGAAGGAGCATCTGCACGCAGCAAATCACAGAGGAAATCGAGGAAACATCTTGTGAGCGATCCAATCAACACTCAGAGGACACTCCTATTTAAGAGGGAAGTGGGAGGGAGGAATTTTAGGCAGATACATTGTTATATTGTATTCTGTGATTTATTTTTTTTCTGATCAAGTCCCTGAAGAAGTTACTGCACGGGAATGAAACGCGTAGGACTTAAAGTGGTATTTTATACCTTTTTTATTAATTTCAAGAATTATTTTTTTTTACCACCTTCCTGGTTCCTTTTCCAATTCATATGCTGTTTTGGTTACAAGAAGGACGATAGGAGGATACCTCTGAGCCCCCCACTGCTATCGGGGGAGGCACCCTACAGGCGCTTACAATCTGGATATCTTGCGAGTGTGCTATATTGGCGTGTCACATATTATACCCAAGGATATTACACTGTTATTTTGTCTTGTATCTTTTTAGGTACACAGCCGTATTCCAGTTTGCTTCATAGTCTAGACACACATTTGTCGAGTCCTGCTATAGTGCCCTGTTAAATGTTTAGGTCTCCAGCTCACCACCTTGTAAAGATTTAATATGACCCCTCCATTGCAATGCTGGTCTCTGTGCTGCTGTCCTGCTTCCTTCGCTGAGGTCATCAGATTGATGATCTCTTCCAATCCAATACTAACCCACAGTAAAGCATTGGGAGACTAGTGCACATATGCAGCAAAACGTCACCCTGCGCCAATCTGACGGTCTCTATGAAACCATCTAATGGAAACAGCACAGTTTTACAGTACTCTATTTCAGAGGAAGCACCTTTAGAGACATGGCACCCGGACCATTTCATTGAGCTGATGTGGTCTAGGTGTCTGTCGTGTTCCTTTAAGGTCTGTTAAAGTGCTATGGAGATAGTAGCGTCCTGAGATTATAATCAAATTGCTTTGCCTAGCAGATTGAAAGAAATAGAGATTTAAACAGCATCAAGGTATGTAGTTTGCAACAATGAAAAGGTAGTATAAAATCCAACATCTATTTCTCTCTAAACATTTTTACAATGATCATTTAAAATCTAGGCTTTAAACAAACATGTATTCTTGTAACTGTGCAAGTCTCGTCATGGCTTGCCCCACTCTCAAAAGGCAGTGTTTACGTTAACAAAAATCTCCTGAGACATACTCTAGTCACCAGAACAACTACAGCTTAATATAGTTGTTCTGGTGTATATAGTGTCCCTTTAAAAGAAAATGGATAATTGACCAATATCAATGATAATGTTCTTCATAAAATATTGTTGGAAACCCTGATTAATTAGCAGCAATAGTCATATTTTCTATAACTTAAATATCACATAATGTAGTATTAGTGACCTAGTACTATCTCACCTACTTTTTTGGGCAATTATGTCACCAAACTGAATTCTGTATTAACCAGTGTAATATATTTTACTTCTTTAACCCCTTAAGGACAGAGCCAATTGTACAAGGTGTAATCAAAACAAAACGTAAACAAATCCTGGCATTTGCGCTATAGGTCTGTTCAACCGTAATTCACCTCTTTCATATTAAGTGCACCCACACTTATTACATATCATTTTGTTCAGGAGAAACAGGCCTATAATTTCATATCAAATATTTTCTATATGAAACCTAGTTGAATGTGAATAATATCTTAAAGTATAAGAAATTATGAAAAAAAATATTTAAGTTTTGCGTGACATTTTAACTGTGACTGGCATAATACTGTTAGATTGTACTGCAATAAAATACACATTTGTATTCAGCAATGTCCTACGAATACCGCAATGCCCCCCATGTACAGGTTTTGAGTCTTTTCAAAAATTACGGGGGTCAAATATAGAGTTTTCCCCTTTTCTATTGAAACCGGTTTGGTGTGCTGGGCCTATGTTACCTTTGAGACTGGCAGCCTAGGAATGAAAATTAACCCCATCGTGGCATAACATTTGTAAAAATAGACAACCCAGGGTATTCAAAATGGGGTATGTCCAGTCATTTTTAGAAGCCACTTAGTCACAAACACTGGCCAAAATTAGCGTTTATATTTGTTTTTTTTTTGTTTAGTTTTTTTGCATTTTTCACTAATAAACTGCCCTTTCATTGGTGGTATCATCAGTATTATACATGTTACTGTTCTAAAATGCTCATTTGTGTAGAGTAATGTCTCGCAAGTAAAACAGTACCCCTCATGTACAGGTTTTATGGTGTTTTGGAAAGTTACAGGGTCAAATATAAGATTTGCCCATTTCTGTATTTGCTAATTGAAATTTGCCAGATTGGCTATGTTGTCTTTGAGACTGTATGGCAGCCCAGAAATAAAAATTAACCTCACCATTGCATACCATTTGAAAAAGTAGACAACCCAGGGTAAGTTTTAGTGTTCAGCGAAGTCTCCCAAGGACAATAATACCTCCATGTCCAGGTTTTATGGTGTTTTGGAAAGTTACAGGGATAAACATAGGCCTTGCAAATTAAAAATCCTACGTGTATATCTATTTAATTTATATATATATATATATATTTGTGTGTGTGTGTGTGTATGTTAGAGAATACATGGTGTAATGGTACGAAAAAATTCAGTCACGTCTGTGCGAAAAAAAAATAGAAAATCGACAGTTCGACCCCTAAAGGTCTTTTTTTTTCAAGTTCTTGAAAAAGACCCTTAGGGGTCGAAACTTTTTTTTTTTTTAATTTTTTTACTGGTTGCTTTATTAACTTATTTCTTTTTTTTTTCACCAGCAGGGGGACTGTCTGTCAGTTTAGTCAGTCCCCCTGCAGGCAGCTGCATAGGCAGCTATGCCTGCCATGTGATTGCTCGTTTAGAGTGATCACATAGCCCCTGGGGGCCGAAATTGCCAAGGGGGACTGCCTAGGCGGTCAGGCAGTCCCCCAGAAGCGGATCACAGCAGAGGTGAGTATATTTCAGCTCCTGGGGCTCAAAGCCGTTACGGCGTTCTATGCCGCCGTAACGGCTTTAAAGCCCATTATAATATGGACAACGTTAAATGGTTAAAGCACTGTTTCAAGCACCAAAAAAGGATTTGACACTTATTTGGAATTCCCCAAGCGCTGATTCGTCTTCTTCTCTTGCAGTACTTGCAAATGTGGTAGCATTGAGCAGCAGTAATAAGCTTAGAGCGTCAGAGGACATGAAGTGGTTTTGGTGCCCAGAGTGGTCCTTTAAAGAACTGTTTCCTAGGTCTAATACCCACAGTGCTGTATAGAAATGTGCGGCAAACTTTATTTACAGAACTGCTTGTATCAACATCAGTCCCTTTTGTAAAGCAAGTGCGATGGTGTTATATTGAGCACAAAGTGATTGACGGAAGATCAGGGCCGGTGCAAGGATTTTTGGCTACACAGGTGAAGATGCATTTTGCCACCCCATTCCCCTCTCTCCCAAAAATGCATCTTCACCGGTGTCTTGTAATCCCCCATTTGAATTTCACCTTTAGTGTATTGTATCCCCTGTTAAATTGTCTTACACTCCCTTGTATGTCTCATACAACCCTCTTCTTTCCCGCAGTCCTTTTGTGTGTCTCTTCCCTCAGCCCATTTTGTCGCTCCCCACCTCCCCACCAGGGCCCTTTGTGTCTTTTTCCTCCAAAGCTATATAAATATATATGAACACACACAACCATACAGGCACACAATCAAACAGTCATAAAAAAACAGACCTACAGATAGACAAAGACACTGTCATATAGAGAAATACAAACAGTTATACAGAGATATACAAACACAGACATAAAGACACAGGCATACAGAGACATATGGTCAAAGTCATGCAGGCATGCAGCGACATGCATACACCGACATAGACACACAGAGACTTACAAACAGTCATACACAGACCTATAGGGCATGGGCAGCATGATGGGGACAGGGGCTGTAGAGGAGGACGACAGGGATAGTATAATGGAGGGGGGGGGCAGGGGGCAGTATTACGGAGGCAAGGGCTTTAGAGGGAGGGCAAGGGCAGCATAAGAGGGACATGGGCAAGGGCTGCTTTAAAAATAAATAAATTAAAAACAGGGAAAAAACTAAGTTTTTGATTATTTAAAAAAACAAACAAAAAAAAAGTCTAAAAGGTATCTCTCTTCCCCCTCCTCCCTGAGGCTTAACATGGGTCAGGATGGTCAGGTGGGATAGGCCAGACAGGAGCTGGAGACCGGTGGAGAGTCTGGGAGCAGTAGAAGTCATGCCCCCTCCTCTGACATCAGAGGAGGCCGGCTGACTTCACTGCCCAGCTCCTGCTCCGTGCTGGCTACAGGGAAAGCAAGGTGAGTTTAAAAATCTGAGTCCCCAGCCAGAGGCAGGAAATTTAGATTTTTGCCCCCTCCACCCCCCGCTCTGGCGCCCTAAGGCGGCCGCCTGTGCTGCCCTAGGGAATGCGCCGTCCCTGCGGAAGATACATTTTCAGTACTTGTGCAAAGTAGGGGGGTGTGTGTGTGTGTGTGTGTGTGTGTGTGTGTGTGTGTGTGTATATATATATGTATGTGTGTGTATATATATATATATGTATATATATATGTATGTGTATATATATATATATATATATATAATTTTCACAATAGTTTCTGGCACTCATCCCATAGCAAAAGCATTAATTCAGCAATGACCAGGTGCCTCTCCGTGCAAAATATACAAATGGAACAAATTGAGAGCACTCATTGGATTTAGTAAACAAAAAAAATATATTAAATCAAACGCATATAAATCAACGTTTCGACCGTCTAGCGGTCTTTATCAAGATGCTATGACATGTGAAAATCTCAAATATATACAATCTAATGTGTTAAACTTACCCAATCACCAAGTACACCCTGTTTGTCCGGTCTGCTCTGTGAATAGAGCCGCAAACCGAGGCTGTCAAGCATACTGCCGAAAAGTGACATAAAGCACAGCCACCAAGTGTTGCCTAGAAACGGCAAAGTTGTTTTAAAAGAGAAAAAAATCGGAGTAAAAGTAAAATCTTGTATGGAGGAGAAAGAAATAAAGTCTGATTACATGGTCTTAAATGTATATAAGTGTGGAATGTTAAAGACAGCAGTATGAATGAAAACGGGTTAGCCAAACGTTAACCAGAACAGGTTAATGTGTGTATGCATGCTGAATAAAGAGAAGAAGGGGGAAAAAAAATGAGACAAATGAAAAAAAGCTCAGTGAATGTGTGGAGAATTGCAAAGAAGTCAAATGTGTGAGATGTACGATGGTGTATGAAATGGGAAAAAAGAAGAACTGTATCAAAAAAGTCTATGTGATCTGAATAGACTAAATATGTAACAAAAATAAAAAATGCGTGCTGCTGGAGATGTATGTGAAACGGACAAATGAAATGTGTGGTGAACTGACAAGAGAGTAGTAAGCTGAGGTAAAGATGGTCTACAAAATGCTATGTGAACAGAATGAGGAAAATGATAGTGATGCAACCCCCATACGAAAATATTATACAATGTGTAACCAGTGTAACGAAAACCAAATGTTACTCAACAAGCTAATATGTGTAAATCCTTTTTTTTCTTTACTAAATCCAATGAGTGCTCTCAATTTGTTCCATATATAATATATATCATTATCTTTTTTGCTGACAATATCTGTTAGTGAGTGTCTTATCAGTCATTGTAAGTTTTAGGTTGATTTCATTCTTGCTATATATAACATGGCTTTATTTTATAACCTAGTTTAGATAAGATGTTCATTATTTGTTTTTTTTTCTCTTAGTCATGGGATGTCTTCTTTCGGAATGCAAATGCTGGTGCAGCTCCTGGAACAGCTTACCAGAGCCCACCTCCCCTCGGTAGCAACCTCTCTGCCTTTGCGCAGGCACAGTCATTGGTCCAAGGACAGCCAAATATAGAAAAACTAGTGGAAGATCATCTTGCTGTACAATCTCTCATCCGTGCTTACCAGGTACAAAACTTACCAGGTCCTTTCCACTCGTTACCTGTTTCTGCAGCTGTTGTGCAGCCCCAAAAAAGTATTTATTTATTTTTTGTCACATTTTGTGTGTTAAGGGGTTAAGCTACACTATCATTTGTGGGGTTATTTTTGTCAAGATAATGCACCTTTCAGCTTTCTTATGTTGGTTATAAGCAAAATAATACTCGCTAATGCAAGAATCTTTTGATTTTGTTAAAAATAGCATAGTAATGTCTGTCTGCGTCCATCTTAAAGGACCACTATAGTGCCAGGAAAACATACTCTTTTTCCTGGCACTATAGTGCCCTGAGGGTGCCCCCACCCTCAGGGACCTCCTCCTGCCGGGCTCTGGGGAGAGAAAGGGGTTAAACACTCGCCTTTCTCCAGCGCCGGGCGGGGAGCTCTCCTCCTCCTCTTCGGCTGAATGCACATGCGCAGCACATTAAGCTGAAGTGGTCTGGGTGTCTAGAGTGGTCCTTTAAGAGATGTTAGATGGACACTCTAAGCACCAAAATAACTTTAGCTTAGATAGACACTATGGGCATCAAATCAACTTTAGTTAATGAAGCAGTTTTGGTGTACAAGTCCCGTCCCCCTCCCCACAATGTCCGCAGGCAGGGGAGACCTAATGCGCATGCGTGGCAATGGCCGTGCTCGCATTAGGGTCTCCCCATAGGAAAGCTTTATTTAATGCTTTCCTATGGTGATTTGGCGCCGCTGGAGGTCCTCATGCACAGCGTGAGGACGTCTAGTGTCATTTAGACGACCAAAAGTCGTCTAAGAACCTGGAAGTCCCTCTAGTGGCGGGCTGGTAGACCGCTACCAGAGGAGGAATTAACTATGCAAGGTGATTATTGCAGTTTATAAAAACTGCAATAATTACACTTGCAGGGTTAAGGGTGATGGGCTGAAGTGGTCTGGGTGCCTACAGTGTCACTTTAAACTTCCTTTGTTGCACAATGTGTTTAATTTAGAATCTACTATCTCGTGCTTTGTTTATAGTTTTCTAGATTTCTTGATCCTACAGGAGCCTCCAGTTTACAGAGCAGGGGATAAAAACTTATATAGCTAAAGTGAATACCTGATTAAAAATGAAACCAGTCAAAATTAGTATTTCATAAAGATTCTATCTTTATGAAATACTCATTTTTTGTGAGGGCTAACAGTGATGCATTAAAGGGTTACTTTAATCAAAAGTCAGTGTTTTACAAACGCATGGCTTGATCAGACTAATCCTTCCTCTCCTGATCATCTCCACCCTCTGCAAAAATAAAATGGTTTTAACTCACCTCAAGGTTGTGGCTAAGTTCTCCCTCAGTCTGGTCCTCCTCCACTGACACAACATATATCAGGGAAGGCAGACATGGGCAGCACTCCTATTCTGGACGTTCTAATGACGCTGCCAGAGGTGGAGTTACTGTTCCGGGGGGGTTATACGATGTATGTGCCGTGTTTTTATAATGAAACAAGTTCCAAGACAACTTCAAACGAGTGAAGTGGACATGGGGCTTGGTTTAACTCTTTAAATCACATTGTTTATCCAATCCTATGTGAGACTCACATTAGTTCTCTACACATTTCCTGCAAAGAGAGAACTGTTTTTTTTTTTAAAGTGCATTTAATTTTTAATTACTTCTGCTCTGTTGAGGAGCCACCTGTTTGTGAATAAACCCTAATTAACAAAGCAAAAGTTAAATTAACAGATTAGGAGCTGTGAACTTTTAAGCAGACGTGAGACTGCAGGAGCATGTGCTATACAACAAATTGCTTCATCAAACTAAAGTTGTTTTGGTGCTTAGAGTATCCCTTTAAAGGTGCTCTATAAACCTATGTTGCACATTACAGTGATTCTGTCACAAGCTACAGTTCTCCACACAGGATCAACACAAGCAGGTCAATTGTGGCACGTACATTTATAAATCCCTATTTATATCTGTAAATGGCCATACATACTTTGTATACAAACGTGTTTTCAAAAGCTGGATATGAGCTTGTGTATTTCTATTTGTACATTTTCACTTCTAAACCGTGGAATACACATGCATATACTTACTGGCTATTGGCAAATCTACCAACAAGGTTTTACATGTATGCAGTGCAAATTTGCCCATCTATAGAGCAAGATGAAATGTCCTGAGATGTTGTAAAAATAAGTATTGTTTTTTTAATTTTCTTCAGAATTATGTTTGTATATGTTCCATTAATCCCTTCTCTATCTTGTGCGGGGCATGTTATTTAACCAGTTTGTGTCATTGCTTTCAGGTGAGGGGTCACCACATTGCAAAGCTTGACCCACTCGGGATTAGTTCTGTTAATTTTGATGAGGCTCCAATAACTGTTGGTTCTCCAAATATCGGTGAGATTGTGTGCACCAAACTTGTTGTAACCTTAATTTTCTTTGATTTTTCTTTCTCCTTTCTTATCCCTATCCACCCCCCATCTAATTCCACCATCCATTCTTTGCATTTATACTTTCCCAAACTGTCTTTCTCTTTTTCTACTTTTCTATACCGGTCTTTTTTTTTTTTTCTTCTTCTTTTTTTTCTTCTTTTTCTCCTATTTCCTACTACACCCAATATTTTTTACCTCTACCTCCACCCCTCCACTTTGGACACTCTCCCTTATGTAGATCCGCGGGCACCATGTTGCTCAGCTAGATCCACTTGGCATTCTGGATGCAGATCTGGACTCCTGTGTGCCAGCTGACATTGTCACATCCTCAGACAAACTCGGTGAGGGCTAAGAAATTGCTAGTGTGGCCACTGCTTCAGCGCCTCCCTCTCACCCCCATGTTTGTCTTTCCCCGCTCGCTAGACCATTAGTAGTGAGATCACAACTAACAGCTATGAGTCATAATTAAGCCCATAAAGAAACAAGAAACTCAATGAAGTTATTATTTAGCTTTTAATGTTTTAAATAACCAGGCTTACTGATGGATCCCTATATTGCAGTTCTCTTTAACCGGAGACATTACATTTTCTCTATATAATAATGTGCTGAGTATGGCCCTCAGTGCATGTCATTGTGAGAAAAAGTACCTGTAAGAAGGGATACTTAACTAGTGCATAAGCTGTTAGTTTGACCTCTGTAGAATAGATTGGTGAGATTTGATGCTCCTGCTGCTCTAATGCCAACACTACTAACCTAGTATAGTGCACTGTGTAACCAACATTAACCATGTACTGTGTGCATGAAACATGCAGGCCAGGCATACACAATTTATGCGTGCGCACTGGAAGACTGGTACATTTATTGTGCTTGGTTTGGGGTTAAAGCATGTGATGTGAGCATGAATAGAATTGGATTTCAATGTTAAATAATGTGTCATGGGGTTGTTGTTTTTTTTGTGGGTATTGTGGGATATATATATATATATATTTTTCCTGTTTTTGTCATTGACGTGCTATTACTTTATAGATCAAAACATTTTATATTAGACAAATTGCTGACAAAGTTATAGGTTAATGTTATAAGGCTTTAGCTCCATGCCCTTGAAGCTGTCTAGTGCAGCATCCATAATACCTCTTGTGTAGCCAGTGATTTGAGCACAGATATTAATGCACAACCCAGATTGCAAAGTTTGGGTGAGAATAATATTTAAAGGGACACTATAGTCACACAGACCACTTCAGCTCAATGAAGTGGTCTAGGTGCCAGGTCCCTCAGATTTTAACCCTCGAGATGTAAACATAGCAGATGTAATCTTGCAGAGAAACTGCTATGTTTACATGGGGTGCATCTGCAAGGGAGGGGGACCCTGAGGGTGGAGGCACCCTTAGGGCACTATAGTGTCAGGAAAATAGGTTTGTTTTCCTGACACTATAGTGATCCTTTAATATATACAAAATCTGACAATTTCACTTTTATTTAGAGTAAACCATGTATTGTACCTGAATCAGACTTTTATTTTATTTTTTCCTCCACATGTGAGACTGGCACGTCCTTTTAAGATATTGAATACATTTCTTTTTATGTGGCATGATAGGTTTAGTCATGACGTTTGGTAAAATGTTTTAGTCGGTCATCCTAGTGTGACATATTCTACTATTTTTGTGGTTTGAATTAAACTATTTTATATTCTAATACTAGTCTACTTATTCCTTTAAAAAAATTTTTTTTTTAAAGTACTTAGGCATCCTGTGTATTCATGACTTGCGTTATTGTTTCTACACCTTAGCTCATTCAGATCTGCACTAGTGTTGGACCTAGCACACAAGTCAAGTATATCTTGTAGACCTAACACTGTGAAAATAATAAATATTACTGATTAACTAACTTGTGCTGCAGCAGGACTTTCATAAAATTTTCTCCTGTTGTTGGGGTCAGTGTGAAAAACAAAGCCTTTGTCAGTCTTAGGCTAGATGTTCCAGGGTTGTCAAACTGCACCCCTATCACCTTTGCCTTAGTGCATTCAAGATAGTACATTTATACTATAGAGATACTACAAGAGCACCAACTTGAATGCGTAAAGGTTTCAAGGATAAAGTTTTAGTCCACAAATTTGGCCGTTGGAGTGCTCTTGGATCAGGAGACTTGAATATAAAACCGGAACAGACCCCTGTAACAATGTTAGTTTCCCCATGTGGCCTGCTGAGAATACGTGAGTTCAGGTTGCTTCCTCCAAGCTTGCTGATAGGTCTTCAGGGAGGCAGGAGCAGGCACACATGTATACAAATGGGAGGAGGAGGGAACCTCAGACTCTTATCAGGCTTGACCATCCAGCTCTCACTGGATCCCAGGGAAGCCACCATCCCCCCCACCCAAAAGGTAAGGAAACAGGAGAGTGGCTAAAGCTGTGTTAACTTTTACGTGTGTGTATCTGTGTGTGTGTGTGTCTCTGTCAGTGCATGTGTGTGCCTTGGTATCTGAGTGCGTACACATCTGTGTCCGTGTATGCATGTGTTTATGTTTAACTGTGTATTTGTGTGTGTCAGTTCATACATCCCAGCATTCAAACACAAAGAACGTAATAAATTACATTTAGGCCATTATATAAAGTTGTTCTTTGTGCCTGCTTTGTTTCTTGTTTTCATGTGTATGTATAAATACATTTTATATCCCATTTCATTAGATAATTTGGCCCTCCAGAAGAAAGGAGTTTGGCACCCCTGATCTATTGCTTAATCATTCTTAGTGGTTGAAATAATTTTTAATTTTTATTTTTAAAGTTTGTTTTATAAACTCCTTGAAATTGGTACTAAAGTGATAGCCCAATATGCTTTTCTGTCATGGCCATCTATTTGGCAATAATTTCAGATTGTGGCCAAAACATTGGACCTAGGATTATGCATTAAATTAAAAATTTACATAAATCCAAATGAAAATACTGAGACAAGAAAAGGCTGATTGGGAAAAATTCTTTAACATGGCAATAGTTACCACCTTTTCCCTCCATGTTTCCATTCAGATATAATTTGTGAAGTTGGTGAGACAGTGAGGGTTATTCATTAAGCTCCCGTGTGTGTGTGTGTGTGTACGTGCATGTTAGACTGTGTAATGACTGTGAGTAGTTTGTGGTGATGTGATGTTTATCTGCAGCTTGTGAGACGTTTGGCTAGGTGGTGTGTGTCTCGTGCTTGCTGACTGTGTGTAATGTATGTGTGCTGTATTTCCCCTCGTATGCTTGGTTTTTTTGCAAGAAAGGGGGCTAAGGAATGTATAAGTCCTTAAGTACAGCGCTACGGAATTTGTTGGCGCTATATAAATAATAAAATAATAATAAGTGGGTTTAACTCCTTGGTGGTTTGATTGAGTGGGGGGAGGGGAGTAAAAATTCTCTGGTGGTCCCCTAGGACCAGGGTTGTGTGTAAAATTAGGGATCACGAGATATCAAAATCATGCCGATACAGATTATCTGTTGTGTTTTAGGACAGTTTGCAGATAACCAGTGACAATATTCTGTATATTTAATGTTTTGAAAAAGTAACACTATTTTTACACAAATGGCATTAACTGCACATACTGACAGCAATCAAAGCCAAAAAAACTCTACAACCGTTTGTACAGTTGTACATGCTGGGATCACTGAGCTGTCAGCAATCACACTCCTATCACTCTATCAGCCAGCTCAGTACATTTCAGTAGATTATTCAGTGTTTCACCTCCCTGACTTCAGCTGAGTTTCCCATGCAGGGACTCACAAAGGGGGTGACATGCGATCACAACGTGGTGCCTTATTGGCTATTTCAAAGAGGTTGAAGACAATGTGCGGTGTGAATAAGTTATTTGTAATATAGTTAAATTACAAGACCGATACGATAATCCGGAATATGCAGAATATTGGCACTAATAATTGACGGAACAGATATTCCGTAGTGACTGAGGGAGATTATTAAAATGTTCCGGTGGTCGAGTGGGTGTCCATGTGGCCTGCACCTGCTGGTGCATACCATAGTAAGCACTTCCTCAAGGTCCTGCACTTCATACTAGGAATCCTGACCGCTGCTCTGACTCATTGCAAGGGAGTGATTACTGTGCTCTGCATTCAAGGTGCAGACCACAAGCTTCATGTTCCACTAATTCTTTGCTCCCTTACAGCAGTAGAGCCAATAAAGACAAGAACTACCTGCCTGGCACAAAGACAGACGTCAGGTTATAGGAATTCTACATTCCTGAATTAGGGTTAATCTCTTTGGGATTTATTGTATTTTAAAAAGTAATGATAAAGCTTGTGTATAGTGTAGCTATTAAAAGTGGGCATAATACTGCTAGCAGTCACATAGTGTTGCTGATTATGAACATTTATTTTTCAGTTAAAAAGCTGCAGGTATTTTGTAAATGAATGCTGGTAAGCATTCATCTAGAAAGAACAAGTTTGCAGATTCAGTGCACCATTCTAAAAACCCTTAATCTGTTATGACATCAATAAATCATTCTAGTTTATGAATTAGTTCTGTACTACTCCAAAAAATTTCTGTAGTGGTAGATGAGGTGTTGTGAATTACATTACCGCAAAATAATTTGATGACTTAGCGTATATATTTGCGTATAAGCCGACCCGAATAAAAGCAGAGGCACTTAATTTTACCACAAAAAACTGGGAAAACTTATTGATTTGAGTATAAGCTTAGGGTGGGAAATGCAGCTCCTGGTAAATTTCAAAGTAAAAATAGATAGCAATAAAATTACATTAATTGAGGCATCAGTAGGTTAAATGTTTTTGAATATTTAATGTGTGTATATAATGAATGCAGTGTTTGTGTATATAATGCATGTAGTGTGTGTTTGTGTGTGTATAGTGTATGTGTATAGTGTGTGTAAACTGGGTGGGGGGAGGACATTTTTTTTATTATTTAAATATTTAACTTGTTACCTTCCCTTCAGCTCCCCTGTGTAAATCTCATGGTCTGTGTGCCGCGCAGAGCGTTGCCACGGTAAACCGTGGCAACGCTCTGACAGCCACAGGACTCGTGAGATTTAGACGGGAGCTGCTGGGAAGGTAAGAGCTTCTGCCTGGCTTGTCATGAGCCCGGTGGTCCTGGTCTGTATTATGGCAATGTAAGTTGCCATAATACAGACCCTCACTCGAGTATAAGCCAAGGGGGCTTTTTCAGCATAAAAAAATGTGCTGAATTACCTTTATGGCCCCCACCCAGCGCGCAGGGGTGGGGGTCGGTGGGGGAGGACAGTAGGTGTGTGTCCCCCTCCCTCCCCCCCCCATTATCTTTATGGCCCCCACCCACCTCGCAGGAGTGGGGGCCAGTGGGGGAGGACAGTAGGTGTGTGTTGTCCCCCATCCACCGCGCAGGGGTGGGGGAGGACAGTAGGTGTGTGTCGTGGTGTCGTCGTCGTCCCCCTCTTCCCCCTCATCTTTATGGCCCCCACCCACCGCTCAGGGGTGGGGGCCGGATAGTAGGTTTTTTTTTTTTTATGTTTTTTAAAGTGAGCAGCCACAGGCTGCTCACTGTTTAGTGGACATGCCCCTACTCACGGTATAGCGAGTAGGGGCATTTGGGAGATTTTAATCTCCCTTATGCTATTATGGGGGTCATATTGACCCCCATAGAGTGAGGGGGGGGGGGACCTGGGTGGCTTATGAAGTGGTGGGGAGCACAGCCAGTAGCTCCCTCCTTGTAATAAACTGAACGAACACTGATATTCAGTGTTAGTTTGTTCATCTGACAATGCTATTCATTCATTTGTCTTTCTGACGAATTAATGAATAGATTAAATTCCCGTTCGCATGCCCAGGTGTTTCACTGGGCATGTGCGAGAATCTCACAGCACTATCTAGTGTGGGCAGATGACGTGTCCCACAGGGACTTCATCTTCATCTGAAATCAGGTAGCAGATGCTAATTGTCATTGCTGACTGACATAAGACACCTCCATTCCACAGTGTTACCTAGCACTGAACTGTTTTGTCATTACAGTTCTCTGTGCTGGGTATACTGACAACAGCTAGAGGGGAGAAATAGCCATTTTCTACAACCTGTTTTGTATAGTCTTGCTGGATTACATAAAGGTAAAAAGAAATAACCAAACCTGTATTTAGTGGTCATGTGACATGGGCAGGAAAAGAGCAGGACTTGCAAAGATTGCAGACCACCAATCTGCAGCTTTTGAAAGTGATGTTTAGATATATACCAATACACGCAGGATTCCTATAAATTGGTAAATGTTAACAAAGCCGGAGATGAGAAATCCTAAACTAAACACACTGCAATATGGAAAGCTATAAAATAAAAAAAAATTATTTTCTTCCTTTTCAGGAAGTGTGTGCCTTAGCCAGGGAAGGTGTGGCTGGGGCATAAACAAAGTGATTTAACTCCAAAATGGTAGGGAACTAAGCAGGGGGTTGATCCATATATCAAAACTGCTTAATGAAAATTTAAAGTGGGGTGTGTGGTTTCTTTAAAAATGTCAGCACAGTTTTAATTACAACTGTGTTTTATGAAAAGCTTTTATTTAAAAAAATAAATAAATAATTCTTCCTGATAGAAGATTGACCTGTATTTCTAAATATATTTTCAATGTTGGTACATAGCACCCTTTCTAATTTGTAGAAACTGTGTCTTAGTCCTTCCCCATCCCAGTTAGAGAGAGAGAATCTAATTATCTTGCTATAATGCACTGACAAGCACATTTTTCTACATGACTTAGAGGTAGTGGTCACCTATTAGCGCCACTTTTGCGCTGAGTGGAGTCTATTGTTGTTGAGCTAATATTTTATATTATGGCTCATTTGTAATCTTTTTGTTTCTCCTAGTATGTGACATTATTCTGCGCAATTAACCGAAGGACGGATCTGACAAAAATTCTTATGAGGGTTTTTGGATTTTTTTTTCCTCCCCACTTTCTTGTTGGGAGTTTTTGCAAGCTATGGACCTCAGTTTTAATATTGGTGGGTGCAATGATTTCATAATTTGGATAAACTTTTAAAATATATATATTTTTAAAGAATATTAAAAAAAAAATAATAATTTTTAAATTCCAATTGAAAATATAACAAATTAAAACATTTAAGTACAAAATTCAAATATTCTGCAGAATATCTAAATAATAAATAATTTTAAAGTTTATCTAAAAATATTAAATCATTTGAAAAGCCTAATCAATAGTATTAAATTGAGGCCTGTGTTTGCAAACCCTCCAAAAAGTAAAAAATAAATTACAAAAATGTTTTGTTTTTTGAAAAGTTTATTCAGATTTTATTTTTAAGTAGCTCCGTAGCAAGACAGCTGTGTTTCTTGTACGGAACATATGAATATGCACTAAGCATATTCTACTACAGAGTTGTGGCAGTGTGTGAAAAGCCGTTGTGAGCCTCACTGCTTCCTCTATTTTTGCAAATTATGTTTGCACCTTTTATTGTTCTCCTGCTTGTGCTGTTGATGTCTTGTACTTAAAAATTCCTTTTTGTTTCCCTCATGCTGCACCCTTCCTCCTTTCACCCCAAACCCTGTGCTGCCACCTCTCCTCCTACCCCCACCCAAACCTACCAGCATTCCTGGATCGGCTACGTGTTCTCACAGTGGGAGGTAGGGAAACACATCCTATTCTAACAACCCCCGTCTTCATTTTTTTTCGTTCCCGCCCTGTTTTTTATATCCTCAACAAGCCATACCACTAGTGATTAAAAACTCATATAAAAATCCCATAGATAAACTACTTCATACCCTCATGTGTTTTTAATGTTAAAGGATGGAAATTGTCATAATAAGGGTCTTTCAAGGAATAGCCAACAGTTGAGAAATCTTGTATTCGAAGAAGGGGTGGGTGGATCAATTTGTGAATGGGTTTTTGTAAATTTACAAATAAATTTTGGCATTTATTTATACTATTTAGCCTAAATACAGCGTGCACCCTTTTGTTGGCTGCATATGGCAATTATCCTCTTATGCAAGATGTAGGAATAGAAGTGGAGTGCAAACGGGTAGAATAAAAGCAAACTGTGAGATTGTATAGCTGTCTTAAGGAATAAA